TCGGTTCTTGAAGGAATGGAACCACTTTCTTGCGTGAAAATTTGACAGCCATTGAATGGAGCAAGTAAACTATAAAACACATGAGCGGTATGGTATCAAAGAGCATGGATCATGTGATTTATGATTAATCACAGGTATCTATATGCGACCTACTAGTGTGTTAATAAAAAGGAGTAGATATGTGTTGAGCAAACTTCAAAAACTGAGCTTTTGAAGAATAGCTCATTTAAAACCTTTTTCTAATGCGGTCATAAACCGTTTAATTTAGCTAAATCTTTTTTTTTCTTTTGAAAAAGAAAAAATGGACAAAAGGCAGAGAAATTCAGGCCAGAAACTTGCTTTAACTTTTATAAGAGGTCTCAGGAAAGTGCATGTGTTTGAAAGAGCGGCCCTTCCTGCAGACTGGGATTGTGTATGGAGATCTTTACTTTTCATTATGCCTGTCAATAAATACCAAAACACCAAAAGGCCTTGCTTGTAACTATAACATTGCTGACACATATCTTTCAGAAAAAAAAATCAAAAAATTAGCTTGTGGAAATGCAAATTTCGTAATCCGTAGCTTAACGCTATAAAATGATCAAAGAAGTCCAAAGTTTGGAGATAAGGCATCTTTCTTAATAATAATTGATAGCTTAAAAAAAGAACCTCTTTCGTCATACGTAAAAAACCAACTCACAATTAGATACATAAGTTTTCATGTCATAAATTTCACCATTCATGCACAATGCTGGTTGAAATACGTCCAAAAACCTATCTATAACGCTTCTATTTGTAGGTTCTGTGGCTTCAGCGTTGACTACTTTAGTAGTTTGTCAGATCTATAGATCTTTGCTCGAAGAGGACTGGACGCTTCCGCCTGATGTCTAGTTCTCTGAAAGTGTATAAAAGCTCTACCTACTTGTAAGGTAAATTATCGACTTTGTCGAGGATTTCGAACACTTATATATTATAATGTGATATTCTTCCCTATTTATTAGAATTCGACAATTCTGATCAAGAACACAGTATTCTTCAAAAAAAAAAAGAGAAAAGAAACGGAAAGTAAATCTAATACGAATGTATAATTGTCAGATGTATGCAGAAGTAAAATGGGAGTACAGACCTACAAACAATTAGAGGTAAGTCCACAACAGTCGACAATGTTAATAAAGAAGGACCTTTAAATCAAGTGTTACGTAGATTGCTCCTCAAAGAATTGCACAAGATATTTTTCTACACAGAACGGATGATCAATATTGATGAAGAAAGTACGTAAATGTCCCCAGTACAAACTATGTATGGGTGCAAAGCGCTTAGCTTTTAATATGGCGAGCATAATTTCTGCGAATTGTTCCAGTCTATCCAATGGGCCTGGAGCATAAATCTGTAATAGTACCATGCATAGGTGTATTATTATAGGTTACCATAAATATTACCTCCACATTCATTTGACATATCACTATTCCATTATCTTCCAACACATTCTCGATAGCTATCATAGGCAAAAGTTGATATTCAGCTCCTCCATTATCGATTATCATGTAATCAATAGTAGTGCGATTGACGATATTTTTGAGGAATGTGAGCATATCTATATTGACGGCATTCATCGCTTGGTACGTACCTAGAAAAACCTTCAACCAGCTTATTAAAAAAATGAAGCCATATGAAGGAGTTGTTGAATTTGATGTAAATGTAAATTCAAATCCCTCAAAAACAAGAGTATTTTATGGAATCCAACACTGAATAT